TAAACATCAGATACAAATATCAAAGTTACACGCACGCACACACGCACGAAGGTACACAATAACCTGAAAGCCGAATGCAGTGGCTGATGTACGAGTAGTGATCAAACTGTTTCTGCGGTTGACATCATGGGACGTCGCGTTCATGTGGGAGCTGTAAAGGTTAGGTGATCAAAAATGCACAATCATGACAATCAGAGCGCATATCTCCAACGTTTTTTACCCTCAACAACCTTCTCTCCCCCCCCCTTTTTTTTTTCTCGCTCAGAAAAAACGAAAAGAAAAAGAAGGGAGATCATTTAATGGTGCGACTTTTGCCGACGGTGCACGCGCGCAAAAGTACATGTCAATCGCAAAAGTGTTATTTACAAGATAAAGTACACAGGAAAGTGATTGTCGTTTAGATGTCATTATAATTGGTTTTAGTAGTGCACCCATAAAGTAGCCTAACCACATAGTTTTAACCCAACTACGTGAAAACGATCAGTTCTTTCGTTGACCCGTTCAAGACTGGCAGTTGTTGAAATATTTTAGCAAAGCGAAAACCGGGTATCGGCGCAAATGATAATCTATACGCAAACCCGAGCCCCTGAGACTTCAACAGTGCCTCCGGTATATGTGTGCGTGTGTTCACCTCGATTAGAGATGTCGTTCCAGATATAGTCACGGCAGTCCGGAAAGTCGAAGTGCTTCCGTCGCGTTCCAATTAATGCTCGGAGCCTTTATTCTTGGCTGTAGGTATAGGTTAGGTTAGCTCGCACCTCACGTGTGAACCTAAGAACAAACGATTCCGTCAAAGCATTTTATGCTGCACAGGTTACGCCACCTCAGCTTATCGGATATCAGTGATACATTACAATAGACTTAATAGCTCTTGCTGTGTTGCAACTTACAAGCACAAGTAGAGAATTAAAGAAAAAAAATATTATCTTCTTTTTTTATTAAAAACGAGCTTGCGAGAGCACGGTTATGGTCTCATCTCACATGTTGCGCTGTAGTACAGCATGGCGACACCACTGATTCAGATACTTTGGAGTTACTAGCGCATCGTAAAACCTCGTTGTCATCGGCGGCTTCCTGAACAAGGTTGCGGCATGACAGTAATATATTATATTGCGCCTACATTGCACTGTTTGCAACAGCAGACTGATATTTCATAATCGGCAAGCAAACTCTACCTGCAAAAATTAAATGTAATACGAAGAGAATGCCCATAGTTTTAGTAATCAGTAATTTGTAATGTGATGTAATTAAATTTTAGTGATTTTTAAGAAAGGAATCGGTAATGTAAAACAGTTAGTTTTGGAAAATGCTTTTGCCATCTCTCGCCTAGAAATCTCAAGAGGGCGACTGTACTAAAGTGATTAACCATTTCGAGAAGAGATAATGAGTTGAGAAAAATTAACGCAATATTGTAATTACACTCCCAAATTTTGACGGGTGAACTTGTACTTTAAACTTTTGTTTACCGAAAGGTGGAGTTCTAGTCACCGGTGTGGCCACGTGCAATATGACGTCTAAACGCGGCACTGGTCACTAGTAGGATCTCAAAACGCAATATAAAAATGCAAGGAACCGAAAAAAAAAAAAAAAGGCTCTGCTTCGTATTATGGATTTTTGCAGATCTCAATATTTGGAGTTTCGGTCAAATTTCAGAACAAAAACAACGGTCTGACAGCCCCCAGCACTGTTGATTTCAACGTGTGTCCCATTTAGGCAACACCAGGTGGGTTGGGGTAAAAGCACCGGACATGTTAGAGTACGCACGCTGGCATGAATTCCCGTCCCGTAAACACTTTTTGTAAGGCTCGCCACTTCCTCTTCAAGTACCCAGGGTCACAATACACTCTGTAGTACCGTATTTTCCGGACTATATAAGTTTAAAAGTTGAAAATTCACCCGATGCGGACTATCTACAGGTGCGGACAATACAATGATATAATTTTTCTAGATCCTTCACTATGACAATCGTGAAGGATTTTATGAGTAACGGACTATACTAATGTTGATTTACGTACGATAAAGCTTCATCGTGAGCTAATACAGTAGGCGTTTGTCAAGGTCTGCTGAGTATGATACTTCTTACGTTCGGACTAGGTGCTAAGTGCGGGCTTTGCACTGGGTGCCGTTTGTGTACCGGGTGCGGACTATCTAAGCAAGCACTTTTATTTTTGACGCAAAATATTTCCCTGCGGACTATGCACCGGGTCCGGGCTATAGTCCGGAAAATGCGGTAGTTCCTTCGAACTCTAGGGTTCTTGGACGATGGCCCTTAGCCTATGCCCATCCTCACATGGCCTTGGGTCACTTTACATGGACGGCAGAAGCAGTCAAATGCTCGGAGTAGCCAAGCATGCTTATCTCAAAACAAAACAAAAATTCAGAGACAAAACCGAGAGGCTAGGCTCTGAAATGCTGCAGAAAGGAGAGTTCGGTTTCGGGCGCTTCTCTGGTATCGCCGGAGGAAAGGGGTCGCTGTGCCTCCCGCCGCAAATCGCCCATTATGCGCTTAGCTTGGCTTATCTGGCCCCGAGATGCAGCAACAAAAGGAGTCTCCCCGCCGTCAAGTCAACTGTGGGAGAGGAGGAAATGGGAAGTGTGGCGAGGGGAACTTTTTTCTGGTTGAAAAATATTCTGCAGGTTGGTCTTTGAGCGCCGCGTGGTGGGAAGTTTTGAAACTAGCCCGAATGTCTCGGAATCTTGGCCTTGAGAGCATTTTAGTTTTATGATATTTGCCACTACATGGTTATAGCACTTCTGGTTACTAATCGAGGGTATGCAACGAGAACGCACCAGAAATCAATCCTGCTGCAAAACAAGACAAAAAAAAAAGTTATGAATAACTTCTTTTTTTTTTACGCAAACGTTCTTAATTGCCCGGTTGCCTTCCTGTGCACCAGAGGGCGACAGTGTTTGAGGCAAAACGGTTCTTCACGAGCTGAAAGAGTTCTTCGGGCGACGAAGAACCTTTCTAGGACAGATTTCTTTAGAGTGCTAAGACCGACTATACAGCCATTACTGAACTTCCACAAAGAGACCTACAGTTGCAGCAGAACAACAGGTTACTAGACATCGAACCTACCCTTGTATCCTGAAAATTTGTCACTTAAAAGATACACAAAACTCAATGTTAATTCCTTCTCCCCTTGTCCCCCCGTTTTCATACTAAAAAAACAATCTAACCTTCACGAAAAAGACCGTGTAGTTTTCAAAACTGACCTTCCAAAAGCCGTATCCTCTCCTTCGCTTGTTCGTCTTGCCGACAGCAGTATCGAGAAGCAACTGTTGTTAAGTACGAACACAAGACTTTGTTAGATTTAGACATGTGAGGTTGTTGTTAACGCTCGTGGAGTGTGGAGTAACAGTACATTTGGCTCGTCTGAATTGTCCCCCAGAAACATGGATATGGTTAGAAGCTGAGATTTTTAAATTTGAATATATCAACAAATGAAAACCTGCTTCCTCTTGTTTTCTTCTCCTGGTGCCCTTCCAACACAGCATTCAAAATCGTATGTTCACATTTGATGGAATGAATAAAAAACTTTACTAAATTAACTAAATATGATAATTAGAAAAGTACAAATGTAACGTATATGTAACGATACGTTTTATTTTTTATCTGTAACTGGAACGAGTTTCTTTTTCAGCTTGAAACGGGAACGCGTTTCAAAAGTCAGAAGAAATGAGAAACGAGCTTTCGGCCCTTTATTTAAGCAAGGTGTACAACACTGCTCGTATGTCTGTTACGAGACATCCTCCCCGGTCAGAATTTGTTTGAATTCAAAATGATCAATGCGGAATTGCTGTGGTTGCATACGAGTTCTGTGCACTATTTATACATTCAAAGCACTCAAAATTAGAGGCCCTAATACCACCTTTTAATTAAAACAAAACAAACAAAACACCGATTTTTTGACAGTAGGAATCACTACGCTGCTCCATAAAATGACATATCATACTGCTATTCGTGATCTGCAGAAGTTTTTAGTATACACAATCATATTATATTTAGAGTCAAGTACGCGTGTCCCTTTCGCATGTGATTAAAATCTTCGGGAGTTATAAAGCTGGGAACTCCTAGAGACCCTTGCTCTCCGACCCCAAGGTGGGAAAAAGCTCAAGCAACGGGGTAGGAGCTTCTGTCCCGCCATAGGCTGAAATTCCAGGTACATCTGCTCGACAGTCAAGGGCTGCAGTTGAAATGTTATACACGACAAAAGTTGCGTTCCCTATCATGACCATACTAGCAAATTTTTCAGTAAAATCTAGTCTCATTTACTAGAGCTCTACTAAACGCAAATGAATTGCGCAAAATTTTGCCGATTGTGAAAAAGAAGCGGCTGTGGAAAAGAAGTTAGCTCGGAGGTCTCCACCACGTGAGAGACTGCGCTTGCGAATCTTCGAAAGTGTTAATACGCTTCTCTTGGGGCGTTGCGGTCACTGAATCATAACTTGACAAAAATAACAGGAATCGCCGTCGAATTGAAGTGCTTTTGTTGGTCCTTATAGTGCGTCCTTCTAGGGATTACTTCTACTAGAACGTCACGATGTGTTTGGTGTGTGTGAACAGCTTCTAATATGATGCGATGTCTTCAACACGGTCTGGCCGCGTATGTAGTGAGGTTGCGGAATAATTCAGACTGGTAGAAACTCGTGCCGGTTGCATACGTCTCGGCCATTTGTAAGAGTGAACAAGATAAGCATACCGGTTAAACCAAATACCGCACGTCTTGTGGACGCCCACAAGAGAGTCTACGCTTATCGAGATTCCGAGACGCAAACACCCATGAAGAGGCATCTTGCACTCACAGCAATTTTATTGACTGGTTGTGTTTGGAGAGCGCTCAGGACAACGTGCTCCAAGTGTTGCTCCAACGACGTCTCCGGAGCTGCGATCGACACTCCCTCTCTTGGGGAAAATAAATACCGCGGCCTGAAACTGGAACCCAGTTCTGCACAGCCAACGAGCTCCCGAGACGTCACGATCCCTCGTCGTTCACTCCTCATTTCTTCACGTGGTGAAGAACCTTGACGTGGGGGGCGGCGTGTCCGTAGCCCACAGCTCCGTAGCCGAGACCTCCGTAGCCGGCACCTCCGAAGCCAAGACCTCCGTAGCCGTAGCCCAAAGCAGCTCCACCGAAGCCTCCGAGTCCGCCTCCGGATACAACGGTCTTGTAGTGAACGCTCTGGTGAACTGGAGCGGCCAGAGTGTGTCCGAGGCCAAGCCCGGCGCCGTAAGTGGCGACGGGAGCAGCAACCGCTGCGGTGCGGTAGGCCACAGCAGGAGCGTGGTGAACGACGGGAGCTGGAGCGACAACCCTGACGGCTGGAGCGGCGTAGCTGACGGCTGGGGCATGGTGGACCACGGCCGGCGCAACTGGGGCAGAATAGGACACACGGCGGACTCCGTAGCCGAGACCAGCGCCGTAGCCGAGACCAGCGCCGTAGCCGAGACCAGCGCCGTAGCCGAGGCCGTAGCCGCCACCGTATCCGCCGAAGCCGTATCCGAGGCCGAGACCGCCGTAGCCGACACCGCCTCCGAGGGTGTGTCCGAAGCCGAGGCCAGCTCCGAAGGTGGCTACTGGAGCGTGGACAGCGGCGGTGCGGTAGGCAACAGCCGGGGCGTGGTGGACGACGGCCGGAGCGGCGTGGTGGACAACGGCTGGGGCTGGAGCAACGGCGACAGTCTGGCGGTAAGCGGCGACGGCCGGAGCGTGGTGGACAACAGCGGCTGGCGCGTGGTGGACAACCTGGCGGACAGCAGCCACCGCAGGGGCGGCATAGCCGACGCCTCCGTAGCCAAGACCTCCGTAGCCAGCACCCCCATAGGCGACACGTCCGTAGCCGAGACCTCCATAGCCAAGACCGCCGTAGCCGAGACCACCATAGCCAAGACCCACTCCGTGTCCGTAAGCGACGCCACCGAGTCCATGTCCATAAGCGACGCCGCCGAGTCCGTGTCCGTAGCCGAGACCGCCGTAAGCGACGCCCGGAGATGCGATCACGCGGTGTCCAAAGCCGTAGCCAAAGCCGGCGGGCCTGGCGTAGGTAGCCACGGGAGCGTGGTGGACTACGGCTGGCGCGGCATGGTGGACGACCGCTGGTGCGGCCGCGGCGTAGCTGACCGCTGGGCGGACGGCCACGGCCGGAGCTGCGTAGACCTGGCGAACGGCAGCGACGGCCGGAGCTGCGTAGACCTGGCGAACAGCAGCGACGGCCGGGGCTGCGTAGACCTGGCGAACGGCGGCGACGGCCGGAGCGTGGTGGACAAAGGCAGCTGCAGGACGAGCGACAGCGACGGCTCCGCCACCGTAGCCGAGGCCTCCGAAGCCTCCGCCGTATCCGAGGCCTCCGCCGTATCCGAGGCCTCCGCCGTATCCGAGGCCTACGCCGCCGTGGTGGACGACAGCGCCTCCGCCACCACCGAGGAATCCGGCGAAGGAAACGGACACAAGTCCGAACAGGACCGAAACGGCCTGGAAAAAAGGAGCGGCACACCAGACTTGTACACGTTACTGAAAAAAAGTAACTGATTACAATTACAATTACTACAGTCAAAAAAGTAACCGATTACCGTTACTGATTACTGCCTCCCAGAAGTAATTGAACAATTACTGCAAAGTAATTGATTACTTTTCAAGTTACTTTCACGTTACTTCTTATTGCGATGACAGAAATACACAAATACACAGTAAAATATTGCGTACACAATTTTGTTTGGTTATTGTTCCCTTTTTTGTTTTCAGACCCGGACCTTGTCGTGTAGCTGACGCGTCGACCTAAGGAACAAAGCCCACTAAAAAGTCAATAGCGAGTTCCCGCTTCCCGTCGACTTTATCAGCAATCTGCAACGAGATCCGAACTCCCCAGCCAAGGCTGGTGGCGCGCTTGTAGAAGAGCGTGGCGTAAGAGAAAAAAGGATTTGCCGACTAATCCTTGTTTTATTTTTTTTTAGATGTTAAAAAAATGTCAATCATTTTTCCTCGATGGCTGAGTGACTATGCTGATTTTTGTGAGAAAAAAGAATTGTGGGATGAAAAATGTAATTCGTAATTGTGTAATTGATTTTGTAATTGATTACAGGAAAAAAGTAATTGAATTACTCCGAGTGTTACAGCTTGACAAATGTAATTAAAGCGTTACAAAATTACACTTAACTGTAATTGATTACAAGTAATCAATTACTTGTAACGCGTTACGTACAAGTCTGCGGCACACTAATGAGCGCGGTGTCAAAGAGGGTTCTCCTGGAGTCATTATGAGTCATTGACAGTTGGAATCGTCATGTCGCGCTGTCCACGTGCATCCCACACCCCACGAAGTTTTATGTGCATGAAAGTTTCTGGTCTCTAGTTTGCCGCGTCAATGTGTTAAACGGACTTATGAAAATCAGGAGGAAGCAGATCACACTGCCTTCAGAAACACCTTATCCAGTGATTTCCCTACACACCGCCGGGGGGGGGGGGGGGGGGTGTACACCCCCCTCCCTTGTTTTTCTAAAGACACCCCCTTGATTCGCAACGTCTCCTCTATTCTAAATGCCCCCCCCCCCCTAACTCCCCCCTAACTTCAATTTCTGGGGAAACCCCTGATCTCATATCTTAAGTGAGGTAAGTTTCACCATGCGCATCTTTTTAACGACGATAAGAAATGGCGAGTAATGGACACCAGGGATAAATTGTAGCAATTCTGGAAGTGAGTTTAGAAGTCGCTTTACTCTTCTGGCGGAAATGATTACTTTCTCAGAGCCCTGAAGCCGCCAAGGTAACCAATGGTTCATCGAGGTTTGTAAAGCTTGGCTGTTACGTAATATATTGGTACAGTCTGCAAAGCTTGTTACAGGCCTCAAACTAGATGGCCCTCAAGCACCTCAATATTGTTTGTGGAAGTTCTTCAAATTTTCTGAAAGGTGAAACAGTCCTAAGTTTTTTTTGGCAGCATAGTAATAAGTGTTGTGAACGTCTTTCTAGTCTTAATTCCTGAAGGCTTCCAATGATCTCTAGGGTTTCGTTAAAAGTATACTATCGCCAAAGGTTTGATGATAACATATCTCTGAATCCATAAATATGCTGAAATGGTGCACAAAACCTACGACCCACGCCATGGTTTTCTAAATCGCATTAAAGGAAAGCTGAAGAGTTTCTTGAAAAAGAAAACGACCTAGGGGTGAATTCCAGATTATGTTTATCCCGTGAATCTGAATATCAAAGAACCACTGAATATCAGTGGTTCTTTGAAAATGATTTATTATAGCCTCTGTGCACCAAATTGAAAAGTAATCTCGATATTTAAGATTCTGGAGGCCAAATGAAAAACATCTAAGTGTTTGTCCTCAAATACAGAACCGGCCGTTTCAGTTTCCCTTTAAAGAGACCATGAAACCATTTTAAGCACAAACAATTTTACTCACTACATATCGTTTATGGGATTGAAAGAAAACTAGCACGAGAGGTTAGAGAGGCTAAATCTTAATTTTTGGGATAAACGTTTGGCAAATAAAAGCGAGCTATATCGTTCACTATCTCCATCGAACGCTCGCAACGAAGCTTAGTTTATGAATGAGTGGATTAATAAACGGGTTGTGGGAAACTCTCCTGCAAGGGACGGTAGATTCCAACAACCAGCAAAGTGACGGCAACAACCACAATGTCAGTCTTTTTTTTTTTCTTTTTTTGATCACGTCAGTTGAATTGAGCCTCTGTACTGGATACGAGTAGTGTGTCCCTCGAACTGTTCTCGGAAACCATGAATCTGATGATCAAACCCTCGACAGAGATGACCAAGTTCCATATCCGGTTGCCTAAGCAGCAGCGTTAACGAGAGCGCGGGAGGTTCGTTTCTAGCGTTTGGTGTTCGCAGCCGAAATTTGAACCTACCATACTGTACTGAGCAATCGCCACTCCTCCGCTACCGGTTCCGGCGCCGAACTGCTACAGCCATCCTAGGGCGAGTTCTCGTTTTTGCCGCGTGGGCGTCCCGGCGTACGGAACAAGTCTCATGCTTTCACTATGCCGAATCACTGTAAGCCGCGTTTCACTCATCTGCGACGTATCCATAGCCCTGGCGTCGATCGCACAAGCGTCGCCAACCAACGAGTCCTACTAAGCAATCAGTGTTCATGAAAACCTCAGCAGGTGGCGTCGTTTCGACGTCGCTGAGACGAAACGTCCGCCGGAAAAGCGTCGTTCCGGCGAAACGTCCGCCGGAAAAGCGACGCTTGACTCACGTGGTTCCTTCGCTAGACAGGGAGAACTTCCGTTTTCAGTAGGAAGGCATAGTTTACGTCACTGCCATGTGATTTCACATGCTGATGGCCGAGTTCGCTCGAGTCGAGGAGGAAAGAAGACGTGAGTCTTCACCTTTTTTTGTATAGGTGAGAAACTGGAGGCAATGAAACGAAAACGGATTGCTGATCCGGGGTTATGAATATTGAAGATAGACTGGGGACCGATTGGAAAAAAAAAGCTGGCAAATCATTTTATAGCCCTTCTAAGCTTAGAACGCCATAATATATTGTTAGTTATGTAATTGCTGCATATACTTGCAAACGGTATCATAGTCCTAAAGGTCGCAAAGCATGTAGTGGTTGTTTTATAGTTTATAGCGTATTTGAAAGCGGCTAGCCATCTAATTGTACTTATGTACTCCTCCACGTCGCAACGGTCCTCAAGGCTGCGAGATATTTAACGGTAGCTCTAACTCTTTTCAGTTTATAACATCCCAGGAGCCTGTTAGGTGCCCGTAAGAGCTGCGCTTAATCGCCGTCACTCACGACCGTCCCCGAGGCCCGTAGTCCGTTCAAAATTGCGTAAGGTTCTCCAAACTCCTTCCCCGATGAACTGTCGTGGATGTTTCAGGTATACTCACGAGAACTCGCATGTCTTGAGCTGTTGGTCGGTAACGGTGAGAAATTATGCTTGGGAGTGGATGGGGCCCGCCGACTTTTATACAGACGACGTCGCCCCAGCGTCCCCCAGCGGAAGCCTCATCCCGACACAGTTTCGTCGGCGTTTCGTCGGCGGAGCAAGGGCCCCGATCAGACACCCGGATTGTATAATCCAGCCAAGATAAGAACTCCCCTTCTATGGTAATGCGCGTAGCCCTTCTGCCTCCACCGGCGGGTGGAAGAGGTCCTCGTTGTGATGGTCGCTGTGCGCCTGCCCTCCTCCTCCTCCGTTCGCTTTTGTTTCCACACTGAAGAACCAGAAACTCTCCTTTCGCGCGCCAATGGAATGCGCGAGGATCTACTCGGTGCAGAGGATCCGACCCTCTGCTAGGGGGAGGGGGGTCGAGTGCAGTTACCGGGGCATCGATTGGACGTCTGGACATGCCTGGTACTGAGTGAGGATGACCCGGCGGATAGCGCGAGCGCGCGTCGCCTTGAGCAAGGGGGTTAGCCACATTTTATTTCGTCTTTGTGTCGATAACGGCGGCGCGGGATTTTCCTACGGTTAACAATCGTTTCGCGATGTCGCGGAGATCGTTGTTAGTGATCGCGCTTTTTGGCGGTGTGTCGATAACCGCGTGAAACGATGATTATGCGCTGGTGTTTTGTGGTTGGCGGGTTGGGTACTCGTGTTTGACGCTGATGTTTTGCGGAGCCCGTTTGTTATCGGCGTCCCTCTTGTCAAACCATAATAAAAGTTTCTCGTCTATTTCTTTGTTTAATCTTGTTAAGAGTGTATGCGTGGGGGTGTGTAAGGGTGGGGATGGGGAAGGGGGGGGGGGGGGGGGGGGGCGGACCGGGAGTACACAACGAGGTCAAATTCTTTCGCAGCTTACAGAGGATCTCCAGGTATTGTTTATGCTTTTACTTCTGATCCCCTTGAAGGTGCTCTACCATACGAAGTAGTGTGAATGATAAAATATTCAAGCGCTTAAACCATAAAAGAGGGAGCAAGCGGTCTGTTTGCGATAAAATCAATAGGACATTACAATAGTCCAGAAGAAAACAGGACACTCCCTCTGTCACGTAAAGTTAGTCTTCGCACAAAATAAACTGACAAAAAAAAAAAAAGGAAAAAGAAAGCAACAGAAAGAGACATTGGGATGAAGCGAACCTTAACTTCTGTGAGATCAGTCATTTTTAGCGATGAGTAAAAGAGTAAAAGTAAGAGAGGCGTTTTTATTATATTAATATACTTTAATCTTTTTATCCAGATAACTCCACACTTGTTTCTTGTATTTTTTTTAAATTAGTATGGTACACATTTTTGCCATCTTTCATTGCTCGTTTCCTCCCTCTTATTCAACTTTCTAGCGATGATTATCACTGACCATATATCGTGAACTAAATATTGCAGTGACGAAATAATCACGATGGTAATTGTTTACATTTCGCTTAGGCCAGATTTGTTAACAAACATACTTACTTGAACAAAGTTTTGCAGAGATTTGCATCCAGATAATCTTAATACGAAGTAAAAAGCTTCGGAGAATATATTTATTTGCGTAACACATTACGTCATGCTTGATGCAAAGTACGACCGAAATGTTGAGACCCTCTGCTCTTGCCGTAAGATGTCCATTAGATACCTGGGGTCAGCCCCGGGAAACGTGGAATCCACTACTACGTAATTTAGACGCAAACACCTTTTAAACACGGCATCCAATCATGCTCCTTAATTTCGCTGAAACCCATGTTCAGTTAAGCACGAATTAACACCATTAAAGTACTGATAAAGAATAAGAAAACAACGAGAGTAATAAAAAAAGGCGGGGCTCATGCTGTGAAGGTGAAGCTATGGTATCACCTGCAACGATTGCCCACTGCACTCTACCAAATGATCGACGAAAGATAAGTAAATGCACTGCACGAAAACTTTTATATATATATATAGGTTGTTTCATGAAAGAGTGACAAAAATTCCTAAAATTAATGAATTCGAGGTACAAAGATAATTTTCTCGGAACCGCAGCACTCGTGGTGGCGGACATCACAAAATCCGCGATACGTACTAATTAGTTCGCCAATTAACTAAAATTTACTAATTAACCTTTCAATTCGTGAACAAATATATAGAATACAAATTAGAATCTTGCTTAGCGTCATTGAAAACCCCTCAATCGGTCATTTTCACAAAGACCTCGAGCGCACGAGAAGCATAGCGGTGCACTAAACTTACCACTCGTGGAGCGGTGACTTTAGTGCACTACTACGCTTCTCTGTTTTCACTAATTAAAGCGATTATTTGTATTTGTTAGTTAATTAGCGAACTAATTAATAAGTATTGCGCATTTTCTGACGTCCGCCACCACGAGTAATGTTGTTCCGAGAAAATTACCCTTTCCCCTTGATTACACTAATTATTTTATGAATTTTCGTAATTCTTACGTGAAACTCCCTCTATGAAAGGCTAATGACGTCACTCCCCCCGTCGCAAGCTGCCGTCGCCGCGGCAGCTTGCGTAACAATAATCTTTACCGCGAAACAAATGCGGTGAGCGCTACATGCTTCGCATTGTTATCAAGAGCGGCTTATTATCAATTATGTAATTCAATGCGTGTTTTGTGCTTGCTCTTTATTTAAACGAATGCTGCGCTCTATGATGTATCCGAGATATGTACTTTTCGCTTCAATCGCTATCTTTCTTTTTTTTGTTTTCGTGAGGACGTTAACACGAAAAATTTCGACCTACGAGTTATTGCAGCTTCGCTGTAAAATGAGTGTTTGCGCTTAGACGGCAAAAATTTATCGAACCAGTCTGCCACCGCATATCTCGATTTGGTCTGTTTGGTATCTCCATGCGAGTACAAACGCCAGAATTTACTCGCAGACTCGATGAATGTGCCATATTTGCGAATCATTTCTTAAACCGTGGAATGCTTTGTAACGCTACCCCCAATTCCAAAATATTGCCCGTCCGTCCGTCCGTTTCCCGCTAAATTTAGCGGAGAAACTGACGTCACGTGACGTACACGTCAACTCACTTTCCCCGCAAAATTTAACCGGAAAATTCACATCCTGTGACCCAGACACCGATCCAGTCGTAGCGTCACGTGTTACGTGACGTCATGACCCTATCGACCCGCCAAATTTGGCGGGAAAATAGGGAGTTTTCGTAGATCGTTTGTGCTTTCCCGCAACGGTCTCCGCAACCCGCTGCGATACCCGGAACTCTGCAGTCAAGGCTATCGGCGCACCGGCGCAGCAGCGGCTTCTTCGTTGCGGAGGGCTTAGCGGAGAAGGAAACGCGGTCTACGAAAACTTCCTATTTTTTCGCTAAATTTGGCGCGAAAAGTTTCCCCTAAATTTGGCGGGAAATATTTTCACTAGATTTGGCAATAAAATTTTACGATAAATTTAGCGGGAAAACCTTTCTGCCAAATCTGGCGGAAAAATTTTCACGACAAATGTAGAGGGTAAATCCCATAATGCAACGCGCGCAGCCACGTGTGACGTCACGAATGACACACGTGCCTGCGCGCGTTGCATTATGGGATTTTTTTGTCCCAACGACGCCGGGTTTTCTGCGACGGAAGCTCCTAAACGCTATCGCGTTAATTAAGGCGTCGGTCCCACGGCTCCAATCATAATACCGGTGGCAGGTGTGCTAATGCTCCTGTCTGCGGTACAAATGTCGCGTCTGTGCGCGTGCCTCGTATTTCGTTCCTTTTGCAAATGATTGGTCAATTAATCATCACTGTCTATGTGCAGAATGTGAGATACATTCTTAAAAAGTTAACGCAAAATATGAAAACAAAGAGTGCAAATTTTGATATTTTCTAAGACACCTCTACGCATTCCAAGTTTCTAGACTCATTTTTATTTGTTTTAATGAATAGAACATAGAACATGGAACATAGCTTTATCGATAGAACAATCTTTTTTTTTTTTTTTTCAAAATACAATAGCGAGCCGGAATAAGCCTCAAGGGCTTTTTATGGCTCGGCAGGTGACGAAATTATATAGATTGGATAAAGAAGATTAATTGAAAAGCAAATTACAATCTATACCACACTCGTTCTCTGAAACCTCAGTGCGTCTTAACATAAACCGAAATGATACACACACCAAACAAACACCTTGGACGCACTGCAACCGCAATGTAAAAAAAAAGAACGAAAAGAAAAAACAAAAAAACATTGCACTTTAAAAATTGACTTTATTCCTCTAAGTTCCGTAACGCATTCCTAAATTTTTTTTCTCGAGGTTATAAGGAGCATTGATTCTGGTAGGCGGTTAAATACATGCGGCACATAATACACTCTCACACGCTCACCGCAGCGAGTTCGAATACGCGGTACCTCAAAACGAAGAGATGGCCTCAGTGGGCCGCTGTTGAATATACGGGGCTTTGAAATTGGAGCTCCAGGAATGACGCAGCACGACGGTTTCCCTAAAAAGCCCCTCAAAAGACGACATGTGAAGTTCCTGAAATATTTTTCAGTAACGAATTAACTCTTGCGCGCCAGAACAACGAACATCCCATAAAAAGTGTTATGCCGTATCGTAAATAACTATATCCCAAAGCCTGTGTTTTCATTTTCCTAACAGAGAAAGCCAGAAACATTTTAGCATTGTATAGTAAGCACGAAACACTTCTTAGCTTTTTGCACAAGTACGTGATGTGTGTACACCAAGATAAATCACTATCGAAGAATATTCCGAGGTATTTGACAGATTTGACACATTCAAAAATTTTGCAATCTGAAGATCTGCAGCTGGAAGTATGTAGCGCTACAGGAAGTGGGAGTTCAACCTGTTTAAGTGGATTTTTAAAACAAACCAGTTTTCTCCTTGACGCATCCACCTTAATCAAGTTCGAAGTAAACCAATCTATTGTACAAGTAATATCATTTTGAAGGTGTTGATTGGCGATAAGGTAATCTGCATGACATGACACTAACACGGTGTCGTCCGCGTATCGAAATACTATACATTGTGAAACAGCACTAGGGCGATCATTTATATATAAATTAAAAAGTAAAGGAGACAGCACTGAACCTTGCGGTACTCCAGCCGTTAAAAGAAGTCTACTACTCTTTTGATTTTTAAAACCACAACCTGGGAACGTCCTGAAATGTAATCTTTAAAGGCCCTGTCACACTGAGGCAACAGTTGGACAACTCTATCGTCATGTTGCCGGTGACCCTGTCACATCGCGGCAAGAACAACAGTCGGGCAACATGTTGCTGCCGCCCGGCAGCCGTTTTGCCCGATTTGTTGTCCGACAACCCTGTCACACCGCGCTGACGGCGAGGACAACACGGGGAACGCTCGGCCATCTTGATTGTTTACCTTCGTTCGTGTGCGGCGCGGAATCGCTGGAAATGTGACTCTACAAAGTGCTAGTGCGTTCGCAGAGCCTGGAATTACCACGGTACGACATCAACCAGTGACTGCGATTAGAAAATTTGACACGGGAAGTATTTTCCGCTCTTTATGTAATCGAAATGTTCCTCATTCGCCGACAAAGCAGATAGCCCTAACCGAGGAAAGTGACATCGCTGATATATTTTCGAGATTTTTGCCACCGTACTGAAGTGTTTCTGTCCGGTTCTTTCATGCGATTCATATGTCTACTGTAAAATTGAGTTAGCACCGGCAGTACCCCAAAGCGTCTTTTGTAGCGTGGTGTTGAGCTGAACTGACAGTGCTTCAAAACTGTGACACTGACACGATCGGCCTTCATAACAATCAGTGGAATAAATATTTTTCAACGCTGTCTACACTCTAAGAAAAAACGGGTGTAGTCGGGTGTATCAGCGGCAGATGCACCCCTTTCCTGAAAGATGCACCCTCAGTTGCCCAGACAGTGTATTTGTGCACCGACAATGAGCATCCTCCTCTCCCTTAAAAACCTCTAGGTGTATCAGTGCACCGCCACGCTAGCCACGCGCCCCGACCAGCGTGTACTTGGATGCCCTCTTGGGGGTCACTTTTGGGTTGGTCAGTTTCTTAGGAAGTATGGCACTGTTTTGTTCACTCGGTATTGACAGTAGAGTAGACGCTATGCTTGTTTTAGGCCAATTGGGTCTCCGGGTAGGATCACGTGACTACAGTCTCCAAGCTAGAGATAAGGCAGAGCACGGCACCTGCCTGAAGGCCAAAGCCACGGGTAGCATCCACTGCACTATTAAG